CAATACATGAGTGACATCACTTGAAATTAAATTACCCCTCACTTACTGCCACGTTGCATGAGGTCTTATCCCATGGGAGTCTGATCACACCATTCAGTGCATTTGGGGTGTCCGTGGCTTTACTGATTCCAAAATATATTAAAATGGACTCTTTCTCTTTTCTTTATAATTTTCTCTAAAATCAATATGCAGCTGTAATTACTAGCCCGTTTTTGCTCTTCATAACAAGAAAAAGGGAGAAATCTTGTAGTAAATCACTGTGGATACCTCCCCCCCACCCCTCCAAATTGTGAAAAGCCATAATAGTCATGTTGGAAACATAAATCCATCATATTTTTTCTAATTTGGCTTTTCATGTATATATTATAAAATATCAGTTTTAATTTTACTATAACTGAGTTTTTTTTGTGGGAGTTTTTTTTGTGGGGACAAAGCTTTATAAGTCTAGTAACAAAGAGTCTGTCGGCATATCACTTATTGAAATTATTCACTTAACTGTTATTTGTGAAGACTTGAAAAAGTTAATTGTAAACATAAGTTTAAAATGGCAGAATTAAGGGAAAAAAAACCTCAAACCCTACTTTTATTCCTATGGCCATATTTGACTCCTTACTTCTAATCCCAAATTTAGGAGCAAATTATGTATCCAGTACTTTTTGAAAAAATCTGAGAAAAACTCAGATACAAATATAAGTACAGTACAGTGTTCTACTCAGAGACAAATATAAATACAGATTACACCAGAATAATACAATCTATTTATTAATATATTGTAGTATATCTTGGGTTTTTATTAATATGTTTTTACCATCAGGATAATGTGTAATGATGAGTGGGGCTGAGTTGCTTAACAGATGGCAAAGAAATGGTTAACCACAAGAAATCTGTGTATTTATGTGCAAATGATGTGAGGATATCAAATGAGTCCATATCTCTCCACATTATCACTCTTTCCCACAAACTAAGTACAATGGATTAATGTTACCCAAGGGATCGCAGTGGCAGAACAGTTGTAATGATTAATTTCTGAGGAGGCTGCTTGCTTGGATATGTATATAATTAGATTGGATGGCTTTTGATTGGTGAGCAAATTATCCTCTCAGTCCAAGAACGCGGGCCATTGTGTATTCCCACTGATAGACGTCCATAACTTTCTATTATTCACAGTCTGCTTAGAAAAGGTCATTGTGACCACAAGGCAGATCTAGAAAGACGATATCTTCAGTATTAATTTTGTAAAGCGAATAGTATTTACAGCAATAATGACAAGACTTAGACATTCGGTTTCAGCTGAATTAAGGTTCAGTTAAATTTGGGGTGATCTGCTATTAGGCTGAAACCCATATCTCTGAAACACCACGTGCAGTTTGTGGATGTAAAACAACAAAAGACAAGTCCGATATGTTCAGGTACTTCAGAATTAAGTATTTTCTCCAAGAAATTGCCCTAAAAATAGATAATTGATGGGGAAAAAAAGATGAGTTATGGCTAGATAACAGTCACCACATGTTGATTTTATTCACAATAGAGGGGAAGAGACCAATAGAATGGAAAAATTGAGACTCATTTTAAAAAAATCTATCTATATCTATTATATAATACACAAGATCCAGCGCACTCCCTTATCCACTAAACAGCAACTTCAATGCTGACAGATTTTATTCGTTTTTTTTATTTTTAAAAACACCTAAACTAGCTGTTTAGGGGGTTTAGTTAAAGTATATGATCATACAATGCATAAGCCTTCCACAATGTCAATGTACCCCATCTTTGGCAGGTCCTACTCTGACAGCCTAATGTCTGCTCTTATAACCCACTTACTTGGGGGAAAAATTCCATCTGGGGCTTTCTGCAGTACAAGGCTAAACAGGGCTCTGGGATGAGGCACCTGTGACAGGGAGGGTGCAAAACCCAGGAGCTGGCTAGACTACCAAATATATATATATGAAACCAGGGGGCTGCACTCACCTGAAAATGCATACATGGGGTGCTGCTGGGGGCCAAACTATACAATACACAAGATCCAGCGCACTCACTTATACACTAAACAGCAACTTCAATGTTGACAGATTTTTATTTTTTTTTGGTTGTTTTTTTTGGTTTTTTTTTTTTTAAACACCTAAACAAGAAAAAAATAATGTGTTTTTTTTCTATTACATATATATATATATATATATATACATACACACACATACATATTTATATTTATAAATATTCTTATTTTTCTCCTCTTTTAGCCCTCTATTGGTTACTTTTTTCCACTTCATCTGTGAATCAATTGGTGGGAAAATGTACCTATATATGTACTGGAAAATACATACATAATATTTATATTTTTGGTTTGCCCAAATGTTTTCCCAAATGGTTTTTTATAGTTGTGTAGGTTGAAAAAAAACTAAAGTCCATCAAGTTCAACCGTAAAGCCCATTCTTTTATATTATACATCTAAAATAAGTCAAAACAAAAAACAAAAATACACAATTGTAGCCATTTCCATTTATGCCACATAAAATTTTTTATTATATCCTTGGATATTCTGTTTATGCAAAAAAGGTTCCAAGTCTTTTTAAATGTATCTATATAATCTGATAACACAACCTCTTTAGGCAGATAATTCCACAACTTTACTGTTCTTACTTTGAGGAACTCATTCCTCTACTGTAAGCAAACATTCCTTTCTTCCAGTCTCAATAGGTGACCTCTTGACTGTTGTATATTCCTGCTAATTAGCACATAGCAGTTTGTACTAACCCTGTTTATATTTGTACAATGCTATCATATCCAGTCCGAGGCACCTTTTTTCTAAAGAAAACTATTCCAGTTTTTCTTGCTATTCCTCTGAACTATTTTTTCCATCCCCCTTACTAGTTTTGTAGCTTGCCTGTGCACTTTATCTAGTTTAGCAATATATTTCTTTAAAAATTGTGCCCACAATGTTGCCCTGCATATTCAAGATGAGGTCTTACCATTGATTTGTAAGCAGGCAAAAGTATATATGGATCATGTGAATCAAAAGCCCTTTTTATACACAAAAGCACCTTACTAGCTGTTACAACGGTAGACTGGCATTGCATAGTGTTGCCTGGTTTGTGATTTGTAATTGTTCCCAAGTCCTGTTGATTTAATGTTAACCAAAGCTCTACCCCATTTAATGTATAGCTGGCTTTATTCCAAAATACATGACTTTGCATTTATCGTATTGAATCTCATCTGCCACTTGCCTGCCCAGTGCTCTAATTTATCCAAAGCCATCTGTAGAGAGGTTATATCATGCTCAGGTTATATTTTCTTAATAGTTTTGTGTCATCTGCAAACAAAGAAATATATAGATACCACTCAAAAATAAAAAAGGCTCCTGAAAGTGTGTCACCAAACTACCAAAACAAGATAAACAGATAATAATATACAAAATATACAACAAGAAATCTAAGTGAATTTAAAATACACCCAAAAAGTGTATAAAAATAATAACACACAATCTGATTTAACGAAAACCGTAATAAATACAATCTAGGAAAGAAATACAACACAAAGTGCAATACGTAAGGAAATGAAAACACATGGAGGGGGACTGATGATGATGATGAAATATAAGCCCTTCTCCCCTAAATAGTGGTAACTCCAGAGAGGGGTATCTTCCAACTAAGTAAATCGTGAGCCATGATTTCAGAGTCTGGTAACTGAAAAGAAAAGAGATCACAAATAGTGCAATACTGTACATCAAACAATGTTTAATGGTTAAATGCACTACAGGAAGCAGAACAAAAGACTGCTCATCTCCACTATCAGTGAACAAAAATAGAAATCCTTCCCAGTAGTTGGTAACGAGGATAGCAGCAAACAAGGCAATAAAAAAAAAAGAATCTAAAAACAATTAAAAACATATAAAGAGTCAAGTGTCCATATCCAACATGTTTTGTCCGAATCCTGGACTTCTTCAGGGATATAATCAACTTTATGTACAGTCACTGTATTACTAGAGATTGTGGAGTGAATTCAACTATTCCGGCGTGATTGTCACAGTGGAGCGCACCAAGCTCTTCTGGTTCCGTTTTGCCGCAATGGCCATACTAGCGTCCATCTGATAGTTGCATCTGAGTTTGATGAAGTGGGATGTACCGCACAATGATCCATGCAACAATATATAATTATGAAAAAAGGGGGAAAGAATATATATATATATATATATATATATATATATATAAAAACAAATATAAAGGTATATATTTATAAACGTATATAAACAAAAAACAAATATATATAAATCAAATAAAAATGTAGATAGAAAAATCATAATAAAAAGTTAAATAAATATAAAAATAAAAATAATAAATATAGAGAAATATTTTGAGTGAGCACTCTGCCCGTCGACTCCAGGTGCTACTTTGGTAGTTATCACAGCAAAGGGATTATTACTCTCAGTATTAAGCAGTATGCAGAGGTGGCTCTCTAATTAGGCGGTTTAGGCGGCCGCCTAACTGTCACCACCTCACACACACAGTATCATCCCCTTCACACACAGTCACTCTCCCTTATACACACTGTCACCCCCTACAATGTAGTGTCACCATACTCTCACACACTGTCACATTCCCACACATTGTCACCCGTCCCCACACTGTCACCACCACTTTCAGCCCTTTCATGCATCCACACTCTCATTAACCACTCCTAATCCTGTTAATCTCACCCACTCCAAACTCACCTGCCTTCGCTCTGCCACACTCACCCTGTCACATTAACCCCCTTAATCCTGTCACACTCCTTCCTCCAGCCATGCTACATTCACCCTTCACCCCAAAATTATGATACCCCACCCCAACTATGCCACACTCAGGGGCGTACCTAGAGCATTTGGCACCCGGGGCGGATCCTGTGCCATGTTAACTAACGCCAGTGCTGCAGTGCCGCCGTGTTTACATTAAAAGGCCTGCAGGGACAGGCTATAGACACCAGAACCACTACATTAAGCTGAAGTGGTTCTGGGGACTATAATGTTTCTTTAATGTGAGGTAAATTAGAGCTTAGTGCCACGAATAATATACTAGATTGCCTACTTACAACCAGATGAGGATGATGATGGGCTCTAGCTGCAGTCTGGCTCCACTGGTCTGGTGCAGAACAGGCTCTCTGGAGGCGGTTTGTAACTGTGGTCACAAAAATCAATGTTCTGGGAGAACAGGAAGCAGCTCCATTTTTTGGGGGTCCTTTACACAGCTCAAGGTCTGGGTCCCAGGGTCCACCTTCATGTTCCACCAATGAGTTTGTTCACAGGGGGTGGAGTGTGTAGGGGATGTCCTGATATGTGTGTAAGGAATGCATTGTGTGAAATTGTGTTTGTATGTGTAAGGACTGCAAGGTGTGTTTCTGTGTATGTATGGGATGCATTGAATGTGTGTAAGGGGTACATTAAGTGTGTGTAATGAATGCATTGTGTGTTTCTGTGTGTGTAAGGGATGCATCGTGTGTAACGGTTGCATTGCTTGTGTATGTGTGTCTGTGTGTTTTTCTGTGTGCAAGGGGTGCATTGTGTGTATGTGATGAATGTCAATCTCTCCTCCCGCTCCAATTTCCTTCTCCTCCTCCCAATTTCTCTTTCTCACCCCCCTCCTAATTTCTCTCACCCCCGCTCCTATTTTCTCTCACCCCCCTCCTTTCTCTCTCACCCACCTTCTTTTTCTTTCTCACCCCCCCCCTTATTCTCTCTCTCACCCACCCCTTATTTTTCTCACCCCTTATTTCTCTCTCACCCCTTATTTCTCTCTCACCCCCCCTTATTTCTCTTTCACACCCCCTTATTTCTCTCTCACCCCATATTTCTCTTTCTCACCCCTTATTTCTTTCTCACCCCCTTATTTCTCTTTCTCACCCCCTTATTTCTTTCTCACCCCCCTTATTTCTCTTTCTCACCCCCTTATTTCTCTTTTCACCCCTTATTTCTTTCTCACCCCCATTGGCGAGCCCTGTATGATCCTTGGTACAGGAAACTTTGTTCCTATTACCGGCGGACAACAGGAAGGTACACCTGGTGTGCACTCGTTGTACCCGGGATCATGCTGCAGTGAGGGAGCTGACATGGACGCACCGCCCGGGCAATGCTGCAGCCGCTGGAGGCTCTGTACAGAGCGCTCGGGCGGCTGCAGCATGGGGGGGGCGGCGGGGCTGGCCATGGCACCCCCCATCCTGGTGGCACCCGGGGCGGACCGCCCCCCCCGCCCCCCCCCTTACTACGCCACTGGCCACACTTACCCTGTCACTTAAATCTTAGATTTTCATGTTTGTTTTCAAGAATCCCTTCACACCAGTACTTATTTATACACGACTGCCGGGCTATGCAACCATACCCCACAATTGTGTAAAAACGATTGGCATAATTGCAAATTGAATTTATTTATTGCAAATTAATTTTGTTTGCAAATTATGCTACAACTATAGCCAGAGAACTCACAATGCAGGGACACTGGAAGCTGTGACATTGCAAGCTTCTGAACAATGAATGCAGAGACTGACTCTCTGCATCCAGCGCTACAAGCCTGCCTTTCGATATAGCGAATGCTCCTTACACACACAAAATACAACCCTTATTATTTTATACTTTGGGTGTTAGTGGGGCCTCATGCTTGAAGTTCGCCTAAGGCCTCATAAAGTCTTGAGCCGCCTCTGGCAGTACGTATTGAGGTTAGTGATGTTTGTCTCTGGCATTGAGATTAGTGCAGGACCCACCAATATTGGCATACTTTGAAGAAGTCATGATGTAACTAAACCCTCTATTTATTTGCTAAGATAGGTGACATTGAGTAGCATTGTAAGATTTAACACTGCCCTTTTGTGTGTGCCCTCTTTCCTTAAAGGAACTCTCTAAGTACCAAAACCACTACAGCCAATAGAGCCAGGTTATGGTGCCAAGAGAGCCTTGAATAATACCAGAGTAGTTTGTCAAAAAGATTTTGTAAATTACCTGGGTCCCCTGAGTGCCTGCCTGCATCCGGTGTTTTACTGCTGGACAAGCTGGATGTATTTTTGAGTTATGCAGGTCCAATAAAGGACCGCATTAATTGGCTGACGCTCTCGGTCATTAAGCATGGTTCTGAAAGGAAAATCCAGAAGAAGAACTGCAGCCACTGACGCCTGGCGGGTCCCAGGTAAGTATTCAAACAGTTCTAAAATGGCTTTACAAATTACACTGGGAGGGCTCTGCAGAACTCCTGGCACCATAACCACTACAGTGGACAGTGGACCTTTAACGGGTATGTTGCATACTGTTTATACGTTACACTGTGTCAGTCACTTTATACCAATAAATAGTATTGCGACTATAATTATTAAATATTTATCACCACCTCCTCTATTTGATAATTATTGACATTTTTTTATATAACAATTACAAACGTTGTTAAACCAATGTTTGGTGAAATAGTTTACTTTTAAAGTTTTACAGTAAAAGTTATGGGAAAAAAGAGTGACATTTACTGGAAATATTCCTTAAAATTTCACATATAACTCTAAACACTTGGCATTTCTATTTCCTATAGCACTAGATTTCATGACTTTACCATTAGTTTTAAAGTTCCTGAAAACACTAAATTGCCTTTTTGTGATTTAATTATTTGAAATAACCAAGGCACTTTTCTACTTAAGTGCTGATGGGAACCCAGAATAGGCCAGGTGCCTGTCTAAAAAGTGTGTTTCTGTGCAAAGTCCCAGTAAGAAAGGAATTGGGTTGTATTTCTCTGTGATATGATGTTTGAATTGATAAGAAAGTATATATTTTCACATAATTGGGCGGTATTGAAATGACTGGCCTCTTAATCAGATAGTAAGGTTATATGTGCTCTTACAGCAAGGGGTACAAATTAATGATTCCATTAAACCATTAGTGCTGTGTTGGGTAAAACGCCAACCCTCATTGTAATAAATGTTTATAAAAAAAATGACTTTTTTCCAGTTGCGGCCTAGATAGCTTTCAATTTTTGTATTGTAATTTTGCGTATTGTAACTCCCTTGAAGAACATTGTACTTTTGTATTTAACTCTCTGGGAATCTTTCAGTTGATGAATTTACTCCAAAGGCAGTAATTTACAAACAAAAAAAGTGTAGTGAAAACAAATTGTAGTGAAAGGAATGTTTAACTTCTAAAATAAGATAGCTAAGCTGTGACTATTGTTCAGTTGGAGAATTTTTCCATATTACCTATTTTGGCCTAATGTGAGAAATTTAGTTTTCAGTTCACTATTATACATTAACAATATAAAAAGATAGTGAGTTGGAGCTTCACAAGTTTTGTTAAAACAAATATTTAACTTATAGTGTGAATGGACAGTGTGACTGATATAAAGGTGCGTCCCAATGACACCCAATATAGAAACTCAATAATGTACAAAATATACCAGTCTAGATACAAAATCCAGTGTGAATAATAAAAATAAAATGAAAAGATACTACCATATGTTGAGATATAGTAGGATAATAACTAAAAAATAAAACTCATTATACTGTTTAACGATAAGAATAATGGTTTAGCTTAGGACTACCACTCACGTTTCCCAGAGCTGTACCAGGCTCTGTATAGCAGGCTCAGGGGTGCCAATACAGGCTAGCGGTTCCAGTTCCAGCAATATGCGATGATGAAAGGACTTGGAATAGGTTTAAAAATAATTTATTGGATTATACAATGTGTGATCATATAATATAACTAAACCCCCATTATTTTTGCCTAGCTTAGGAAACTGTGCCATTCTGTGAGCTTTAAAGTTGCTATTTAGTGAATGTGTGAGTGCACTGTGTGTTGTATACGTTTATTGGGTTTGGGCTTGTGAACAGTGTCGCTGTGTTAGCCATAAAAACCCAGGAAACAAGTGACAAGTGACACCCCACTACGAGTGCAAGCTTCCAAGACTAGGATGGCAACTCCACTCTAACAAGGTTATATACTAAAGTAAGAATCTTCAGGAATACTAAGTGAACTTAAAACCTAAGGCCACAATAGCCAATCTGGAAAAAAGTGAGCATCAAATGTAGCCTTAATTCACTTTTAATAACCAACAAATCTAACTTTAGTGTCTAACCCTGCTAATCTATAGTTGTGATGGAGGCATAAAAGAGGCAAGAGTGTAAGAACAGTATGAAGGTGTAGCAAGGTGTAAGAAGAGGACAAGTCGGTTGAGGTGTGCCGGAACCGATGTAGCAGTAGGCCTGTAAATAAAGAGGGCCCACCCAGTAAGGAGTAAAGAAAAGTATTAAAGGGAGAGGTAGTGGAGTCAAGTAACGGTAAGGAACAAACGGGACGGGTGGAGGTGAGTAGTGGGCTTAAATAGGGGACCATGCCCCTCCCACAACTGAAGGCCAAGCCTTCACATTTGTGATAGGGGCATAAAAGCTGAGGCAAGAGTTAAGGAGAGTATGAAGGTGTAGCAAGGTGAAAGAAGAGGACAAGTCGGTTGAGGTGTGCCGGAACCGACGTAGCAGTAGGCCTGTAAATAAAGAGGGCAAAAATAGATACAGACTAGAATTTATTACAATCAACAAAAGAAGAGCATGTATTACATAGACATAGTATGAAAGGCGTGTCTGAGTTCTTGTACTGGTTGTGGTATGTACAAAGAGTATGCGGAGGACTTCCAGCGACCTAGCGTTTTGATTATATGTACAGGTATGTTCTTGCTAGAGGCCGTGGAAGCCGCCCCTATTCTGAAAGAGTGGCCAGAATAGTCAGAAGAGTTAAGACCTAGCTTTGTGATCAATGATCGGACATAAGTCATAAATTTAGTTGTGGTAAGGACTGACCCATGTAAAGTTAACAGTTGTTGGGAAGCTTGTATATTATGAGTCAGTAGAAAGGTGTCTAAGATCTTAACCGGGCACCATTTATTATGTGTCGGGTAATAGGGTATATTAATGTCTTGACCATCCTGTGTAGTTTTAGTGTGGGGAAGTGTTAGTGTTAGTACATAATAGTCTCCCAATTTAACTAGATGAGACTTCCTGAGGCAATATTGTAGGTTGGTCCTGGTAGTTGTGGTAAATTCACGGTGTCTAAGAAAACCATAGAAAGCCAGGTAAATTGCAGTTTTAATTACGTGATCGGTGCGAGGATCAAATGGACCCTCATCTAAAAGGTCTGAAAGAGAGTGTAGTAATTGGATGTCAATGGGTAACCTCCTATGTGTTGGGGCGTGACCGGTTTTCTGCATGCCTCTAAGTACAGATTTGATTTGGTATGAAGACATGAAGCTGTGTTTGTTGGGAAATAAAAGCAACATGTGGTGTTGTATACCTGATAGGTACAATTTTATGCTAATATGTGATAGTGCGAGTTTAAGGTGGAAAAAGGAATCAAAACCTACCACAGTCGACATAGCAAAAGAATCAGTAACACCATATTCCAATAAAAACTTCTTAAACAAGGAGAAAGCCCTGTCATAAGCCCTGCGTGTGTTAGTGGACAGAGACAGTCGGGCAAGATGATGGCCGTGGGACAACAAGGCGTTCAGTCCATAATCAGCTCCTGAAACGGAGGGGCAGCAGTGGCAGTGGGGGAGGCCGTAGGCAGAGCTGCACGGAAGGCCTGAAATTGAAACCGAGACAGCCTGTCAGCAGCGATATTTGTGACACCTGGCACATGAAAACAAGTCAGAAAGAAATGATGATTAGACGCCAGCCAAGTCCATTTCCTGAGGAACCTCATAAAACCAAGAGAGGAAGAACGCCCTTTATTAATGATGTGGCATGTGGCCTGGTTGTCCGAGAAACAGCTAACCGAACAACCCGACCAGGCCCCACGCCCCAAACCACAGCGGCCGCTACAATGGGGTAAATTTCAAATAGAGCGGAGGTAGTGGAAAAACCCTCGATGTCCAGGACCTCCACTGGCCAAGCACCCCAGAGCCATTTAGAACTGTAAATGGCAGAGAAGCCGATAGTGGCAGCTGCATCCATCCATAGTGCGGGTGACGCCTCCAAAATTTCGGGAAGGAACATACTCTTCCCATTCCAGGAGAGCAAGAACCTCCGCCACATGAGCAGAGCCGCCATGGCATGGTCATCGAGCATGATCCGGCTATCATCATGAGGGAGTGAGGGAAACAGGGAAAGCAGCCGAGATATAAACGCCCGACCCTGTGGGATAATCCTCATAGCAAAATTTAACGACCCTAGCAAAGATTGTAACTCCCTCCGGCAGCAAGACCTGGTACGTATATAGTCGTCAATGCACAAGAGTATGTGAACTATTTTTTCCTTGGGTAAACTGGCCTGCATGGCAACCGTATCAAGCTGAATACCCAGGAAAGTAAAGAAGGTGTCCGGACCTTCTGTTTTGTCTATGGACAACGGTACACCCAACAATTCAAAAAGGGCAGAGGCCTCCTTCAGACTACGTGGGGGGAACTTGTTCTCCTCAATCATAAGGAAGTTGTCCAGGTAGTGGAGGACTGTGGGACCCCTATTAACATTAAGGAGCAACCAGCAGAGGGTCTCAGCAAAGATGTCAAACAGTTTCGGGCTACTTTTGGAACTGAAAGTAAGCCGAGAGAAAAAGTAATACCGGCCCTTCCATTTAACACCGTGAAGGTGCCAGAGCGTAGGGTGTATCGGCAAGAGCTTAAAAGCATTGACAATGTCAGTTTTACTAAGCCAAGCACCCACCCCGGCTTTAAGGATGGCTGAAATGGCATTATCAATCATTGCATATTGTAGTGAAAATTCCTCAGACGGAATTTAAACTAGGAATTGCTGCCGAATGGGGGGGCGGAAAGATCGACTATCAACCTCTGCTTCATGAAGGACTTACCAGTCACAATACCAATAGGGTTAGTCCTCCATGCAGTAAAAGGCGGAGCCTGGAAAGGACCTCAAAGAAAACCCCCAGCAACCTTCGGTTGTATGAGAGAGGTGAGCCGGGTGAGCCAGAGCCGATTGCAGGTTTTTACACTCACAGATACCGGACGGCATATGTATGATGCCTGTATGGAAACCTTCAGAAAAACCAGAGACCAAGAAATCAACCAAGTGCCTGGATGGGTGAGAGGACAACATGGCTGACAAGGCAGACACATTAACAGAGGTCAAGTAGGGTTTGGGAAACAATTTATTGGGGCACATGGTGAGCGCATGAGCCCGGAAGCACTTTGAACAAACATGCAGAAGCCTGCAGGCGCTAAAACTGCAGGTACCAGCATTAAAGTTATTACAGACCTTGATGACCTTGTCAGGCTGCGGGGAAGGGAACAACAAGGCCGGAGGAAGCCTCGGCCGTATTGGGACAGAGGTTCGTGGAGTGAGACGTGGAGGAGCAGATGTCACAAGCTGGTGTCCTCAGACCCGCGAAGTGTCTGCGAAGTGTCTGCAGAACAATTTCGTGTCCAGCTTACCCCAGTTTAACCGGGCACCAAACTGGGTGAAAGCTGCAGACACTTTGGCGGAGAAAGACCGGTAGTAGTCATAAAAAGACATACCACCGTACTTGTGGTCCAAGTCCACCAGCTTATGCATGTAAAGGTCCAAATCCTGCCTCCTAGCTGGGTAGACCGAGCACAGGACGTCCCTGAAAAGTCCAAACGCCAGGACAAACTCTGGGACAGAGAGCTTCCTGTTAAGCCTGGGGTCCCGGGCCTTGATCACAACTGACACATCCCCAAAGGCATAAGTCTTGTTCTCAACGATATCTTGAGAGGCAATAAGGAGCGAAACCAGGTTCACGTCCTTGGCATCCAAGATATCCTTCCGAATATTGGCCAGGACCATGTGAGCAGGGTCGACATCCAGAGGGGTATCAATGGTACATGATAAATTACCCTGGCCAGCCGAGGGAGGTTCAGCTGGAGCTGTAGTGGGATGGCTGGTCAACGACTCGGCCCGAAAGGCAGTCTCCAGTCTGTCCAACCCATGGATGCCACAAGAGAGGACAACATGGAGTGCACATAAGAGGGGTCAGCGCCACTAGGACCTTCTTCAGCGCCTTCTCCAGTGACCGCGTGGGCCAAGGAGGAATGCAGCAGCCTGAACAGTTTGGCCTTCCCAGCTGATGCGGGGAATGGGATCTGACGCCTCCGGAGTTCTGCTGCGAGGCGAGGAACAGACCATGATCTGAGGGAGGCAGACGTAGCTGAATTTCCCCTGCGAGAAGGGGTACCAGACCTAGCCGGAGTGCCGGGCAGGAACACATCTTTGTCACCTTCTGAAACTTGATCCATTCTAAAAAAAGAAAGAAGTGATAAAATTTAGAGCAAGAAAAGGACCAGCGAAAATGCAGGACCAGTGTGAGCTGGCTAACTAGCTAGTGCCGCAATGTGGCGAAACAATTAAACTAGGTTGGTGACTGGTGAGGCCCTGCTAGATGCCAAGCGGCGTGAGAGGCTCTATCAATGCGTTGGCGCCAGGAGGTTTAGTGGCCACCGAAACATTGTGGCGGGGTGTCGGCCTCTTGGTGACCAGTAAAGCATAAAATAGAATGGGAGTGACAGGTGAGGCCCTCTCTATGCCACGTGCGAGGCAACTAACTATGATTTGGCCCGAGGGGCGTAGTACCTCCGAGTATGAAGATTGGTGTTGGCCTCGCGTGACCACTAACCTAAGGCGAAGAAGCCAGGGGGGGATTACCACTATTGGGCGCCTAAAGACCCTGACAGCCAGCCACATCTAGACTAGGTGGGATAGCGAAATGCAAGACAGGACGTACCTGAGGAAACGTGTAACAAACAACATAGGGGAGGTGCGAGATAGCAACGTGAGGCAGAAAACGTAGGGGCAGACCGAATCTGGAGTGCGGAGTAAGCACGTCAGACCAGTTGGTCAGGCCGTACACAGGGAGCCTGGAAATAGGTAATAGAGCGTATATTGGTGTATGGCTGCCCAGGGCCTGTATGGGTCAGAGCGTGGACCCAGAGACAGAGAGGGAAAAATAAAATAAATAAACAAACACAGAAAACGTACCTTCCAGGAGGTAGAGTAGCACGAAAGGCAAGGAGGGCAAAAAAACACAGCCCAGTGAGAGAGAGCACAAAAAACCTGAAAAATAAAACAGATTAGACAAAGGCTACGGGGTTAACAAGGAAAAACTGAACTTGGACAGGAAGAACCCAAGGTCAGAAATCAGAAAAAAAAAAAAAAAGTTAAAATAGCGTAACCAAAAGTAAAAACAAATAAATAAATTATTAATTACTATTATTATTACTATTATTATATAAACTGACCCTTTAAGAGACAAGCCAAATAAAAAAATAAAAAAACATAATTTGAATATCCTGTACATATTTATTCATTATTATTATGGTACGTTTAATTTAATTTTATTTCATATATAGAATTTGTAAAGGCTGCAACAAGAAAAAACCCCAGCAGGGGTAGGATAGAAAAACATACATACCCAACCACGAGGAGACAGCACAGCGTCCTAAAAGAAAAACCCGAAAGCACAGCAAAAGAGAAAAAACAGAGAAGCGTTCGCGGGAAAAGGAGCACAAAGCCCACAGCAAGGGAAGGTAAGTAGAAAAGAAGAAACACTCCCGAAACGGCATGACCCATTCGGGAGAAACCACCCAAAACATGAGAAGAGAGCAGGGGATGGACCCACGCCGCGAGGACCCCAATGGAGTGCGACCATGGTGCGACAGCAGGGTAAGTAACTTACGGTCAGGGCCGTCTTTAATTCTGACTGGACCCTGGGCAAGCATTAACTTGGGCCCCCTGACTACATATAGATACACACAAATACAAAACCTGACACACATGCAGATACACACTGACCGCATATAGATACACACAAGAACATACAGATACACACAGACTACATATAGAACACTGACACACAGATAGACACAAACACAGATACACAACCTGACAAACATGCAGATACACAGATACAAACACTGATACATGCAGATACAAAGGTACACACACTGACTACATATAGATACACCGACACACACACTGACACATATACAGACACACAGATACACAGATACACAACCTGACACACATGTAGATATACATATACAAACACGGACACATACAGATACACACTGACTATATATAGATACACACACAAACACAAACGGACAACATACAGATACAAAGGCCCATTCTGACAGACGTACTGACACAGAGACACACACAGACAGCCATACTGAAACACACATACACACAGACATACAGAACCACATGGACACTGACAGACTCACACATAGACATACTGACACACTGACAGACATACAGACATTATGGCACACATACACACAGACAGACAAACTGAAACACACATACACACAGACACTGACAGAGGTACACACATACAGACATTTTGCCACTCACAGGCAGCCATACTGAAACACACATACACACATACATACTGAACCACACAGACACTGACTGACTCACACACACAGACATACTGACACACTGACAGACATACTGGCACATATACACACAGACGGACATACTGAAACACTGACAGACAGACATACATACATACTCACACATACACACAGACACTGACAGACATATTGACAAACACAGACATACAGAACCACACATACACTGACAGACACACACACAGACATACTGACACACTGACAGACATACTGGCACACTGACAGACAGACATACATACATACTCACACACACACACACACACAGACACTAATGCAAAATTTGATAACCACCCTCCAGTTTCTTACCTTTTCCTGGAGGGTGGCTTCCCTGGGGTCCAGTGGGCTGGCTGGGGTGGCTGGGAGTTAAGCTCTCCCGGCCTGGCCCCCTCCGGAACAGCTCCTTCCTCCCGCGCGACTCTTGTTTCTGTGGGAGGAAGTGACGCGTGGCTGTCACTTCCTCCCAGTGCTGCCGAAAAAGCAAGGCCCCGGTCGCGCTGTTAAAGCGCCACAGCGCCCGACCGGGCCCCTGCTGACACAGGCCCACTGGGTGGCCCTAAGTGCATGGGCCACCCGATGGGCCCCCATAGTTTGCGGGCAGAGGGCAAAAGGAGCAGCTGTCTTGGGCCCCCCAGCTGGGACAGGGCCCGGGTCAGCTGCCCCGTTTGCCCTGCGTTAAAGACGGCCCTGCTTACGGTACGGGACAGGTGGAGGTGAGTAGTGGGCTTAAATAGGGGACCATACCCCTCCCACAACTGCAGGCCAAGCCTTCACATTTATCACTTTGCACTGATTTTTTTGTTTTAGGTCATGAAGCTTATTGTTGTCACTATACTTCTATTATTATTTTATTAATAAAACATTTGCTATTTGCTATTTGTATGCCCTCAGTTAACCCTACAGATATGGGAAATATTTCCGTTTGAGTTCTTGATTTGCCACTTCACCCTTGAGAACAGAGTTTGCTGCTGACTTCCTACTAAATTCACTGAAAATGTTAGTTCTCTGTATAATTAAAGGGAGACTGGCACTTGGTGTGTTTCTTCTACGAACTAGAGAATGCAAATTTGTTGTTACTTTAACAAAGTATATATCCATTCAAACTGGTTCCTATCCATCTCATGCACACATAGAGTGATTTGGGATTTCCAGAGTAATGCACTAAAAACAGAATTATTGTGGACTAAAATCCAAATAACTTTTAGGTTAAAGATCTACTAAACTGCCCAAATAAAAAAATTTTAAAAAATCAGTTTAGTAGATTTAACCAATATGTATTTTCAGTAATATAAATTGACTGTCATTCAAATTTTAATCTGAGTTTACTACAATTTGGAGTTTACTCACTAATTCTGCCAATAAGGGTCACAAATTACTTATCCAAACTCCTTTCTGACAATCAATGGTTAATGATATTATGAGCTTTCCATAATGCATCAGTTTTTATAAAACAAAGTTCACAGGTTTTAGAATCTCAAACAGCGCTGGCAAAGAGGAATTTAAAACATTCAATAAAAAGTCTAAAACGCATTCCTTTGCCTGTAACTTAAATCGTTACTATTTAGATGGGATTTATAGATTACTTTTCAGATCACATTTTCTCTCTCTCTCTCTTTCATACTTGATTTTAAAAGCACTCTTTCAGCTAGTATTTAGCACTGGTAGTCTGATAACACAATTCTTAGAAATAGTTATGTACTAGTTTATATTTCTCATTGTTGCAACACTAATAGCAGCCGCAGCCAAGTGAGATAGAAACTGATCATTGTATAGAAATAATAGGTTTTGGAAATTAGCACCATAAGGTGAAATGTACTAAAAAATATAGACATGTTTGTAAACCCATAAAAACAGCACATTGATGCAGTTACACTCACATACATATACAGCTATTAGATTACAGAACACTCCAGCATTATAAATAAATACCATAAAGCTAACGTGTTTAGAACACTGTTTAGATTTCTTCTTCCCTAAAGGGTTACTTACCTACAGTCTAGAGCTGAGGGTGTCTTCTTGTTGCAGCTCGGCTCATTGCAAATAATGATCTCCCAGCCAATCTATTGCTTCTCATAGAGGAACATTGGGAAGCAGGGAACATGTGCATCAATCACTGCTCTATACCGGCTGCTTCTCAAAGAGAAGCATTGAAAGCCGTCATCTCTATGAGAAGTTCTCAGTTCCATTTTGAGCAAATTCGTAAGGTTTATGTGCTTCTTGGTGTTAACCAGACAGTATTATCTAGAGCGGTTATAAAAGGTATTTATAAAATATTTTACCAGGAAAGATACATTGAGATTTCTCTTGTTTTCAAGTATGTCCTGGGTCCACAAAACTTTGCATTGATACAATAGGGCACAATAAAATACAAAAACAATATTAATACACAATACATACAAAATGTGACATAGAACAGGTAGGAAATATATAATCAACCATGACAGGTGCATTCTGTTTTGAGGTATGTAGAGAGGGATCTCTTAAAAGACTTTAGGCTTGGGGAAGATTTTAAAGTGTGTGGGAGGTCGTTCCATAATTGAGGTGCTCTGTAGGAAAAGGAGGATCGGGCTGCTTTCTTTTTGTATTGAGGTAGACTAAATAAAGTGCTGGTACTGGATCGGAGGTTATAGGACAGGCATAGGCAACCTTCAGCACTCCAGATGTTTTGGACTACACCTCCCATGATGCTTTGCCAGCATTATGGGTGTAAGAGCATTATGGGGAAGTAGTCCACAACATCTGGAGTGCCGAAGGTTGCCTATCCCTGTTATAGGAGGTGGGAGCAGCCGGGGAGAGCATTCTGCTCAGGTAGTGTGGGAGCTTCCCAGAAAAGCTCTTAAACACAAGGCTGGAAAGATGAACGGTGCATCTAGATTCCAGCGACAGCCAGTTTAGTTATTTTTTCATGTCACAATGGTGGGTCATGTAATTACATTGTAGCACAAAGTGGCAAAACGAGTCATACAATGTATTACGTTTTTAAGGTGGGTTTGCGGTGCAGGCGCATATACTACATCCCCATAATCAATGATTGGCATCAGCGTTTGCTGTTCAATCTTTTTCCTTTACTGTAGGTGTTAAGAATGCTGGTATGTCCGATTCCCATTCGTTCGTTTTCTCCTGAACTGCTAGAGGCTGTGTGATTATAGCTCTCAGTTCGGGAGTTGATTTGAACGTTCTCCAGACTAAAAATAACGGCATACGAGTAAATCCACCAAATAATTAGACGCATACCCAAACATCAGCCTGAACTAGATGAAGGGTACAACAGGAATGATTTTATTCAGGCCAACTGGCTGGTTTATATGCAACTCCCCATGCAAGGGGTTTCCCAAGTCCCATTCCAGGGGCATTCCCTGCTGGACCTGAGAGGAGACTATAGCAAAGTACACACTGTAATTTAATTGGCTCTCAGGTTCAGGACACTCCTATACAAAACAGGGTAGTCCCTCCCCTGTGCCTGAGAGATTATTGAGTCAGGAACTGTACTAAACGTAATTATCTCCAGGCACAGAAAACATACATTTTAACAACACCCCGAAAGTACTCCCAAAACACATGGAACCCCCACAAAAGTCACATCCCCTGACAGCCCGATCTGGGGACCAACATATCCAAAAATCACCCAGATCGGTGTAGGGGTTCAGGATTTCCATGGAATTCATAATTAGACCGACCGCACACAATGTCTTATGCCCAAAACAGTTCAACAATTTCAGTGTTAGCGGTCGGTCCGTTTTGGGGAGTTCTAAAATCAAACAAATCCACGAACTGTTCCCCTGGCTCATGGGTAGCATTTGTTCCCCTGGTTTGTGGGAACAAACATACCAAATAGCGCAGTCCTGGTTGGTCGGTGAAAAGAAGCAGGCGTTCGGATAGTCGAGTGTCCGATTTTAGTTCCAGACACTTGACTACCAAGTCCCGCTGCCTCTTTGCGTGCGACAAGATGGCCGCCATTTTCTCCAGTACATGGTGTTCGGCCATACGAACGGCGGCCACACAGAGCGAGCACTCAATCTGCAGTCTTCTTTGTAGTTTATGAGGAGGGTGGTAGTTTTATCTAGCGAACGAGGAAAATCAAGGTTAACTAAAAGAAGTGTGGTTTCTTCAAAGTA